CAGATGAAGTCAGTGACCTCCTTTTCCCTAACTTTCTCTAACGCCTGTGCTTCGACCCACTTGGAGAAGTAATCGGCCATAAGTAATATGTACTGGGTTTTGCCGGGTGCCCACGGCAAGGCACCGGCGATGTCTATTCCATATTTCATGAACGGCCAAGGGGAAAGAACCAGGTAAAGCATCTCTCCCGGTGGTAGAACATCAGGGAGTGCCTCTGACATTCGTTGCACTTTTGAACGAAGTCTTTCGCATCCTTTTCCATCTCGTTCCAGTAATAACTGGCTCTGATCAATTTTCGAACCAAGGACTCTTATGCCGAATGGTTTCAACAAGTACCCTAGTGTACTTTCCTCATCACGTAGTCGGTATCCCCGGGACCCAAACTCATTGCTAACGGTCCGAAAAATGATCTTCGGTATAATTTTCCACCAACCAAACTAAACCGGGATGCCTAAGATAATAGTCCCCGAGTGTAGCCCAGTGAGCTTTCTTCCCGAGTTATCCAGGCATGCCTAAGATAATAGTCCCCGAGTGGGAATGGTCGTGACCTTTAAAATTCGAGGGTTGCCTAAAAGGTCTTATGCCCTCGACGCTCAATAGTTTGATATGTTCGAGTTTTATTTTTCGGACGGCAGTCCCCGAGTGTGGGGGTGAATATCCAAACTCTGGCTATGATCATCCCTTAAGCTCGTTCCCATAATAAATTGAAAGTATGGAATTGTAAAGTAGAAAAAAAAATTCTAAGACATGAGATAATTGCAAGGAAAAATACTTCTCTTTATTCTTGTGAAAAATAATTACACATGCGTACATGTTTAGAGCTAGGGCGCGAACAACATATCCGGGCACGGTTCGTTCAACCGTTTGGCCCTATCGAGACCCGTCATTATGAAGTAATTTCCTCGCAATAAAGTTGACATCCAAAGGCAATACCCCCCCCCCCCAATATTCGAGGTATTGTAGGGAACCTCGGATACTGTTGAATGCTGTCTTTGACACTGATTCGTGGTCGGCCTTCGATTCTATGTTAGCGCGATCCGTTGTTGCCTTATTAAAAACCTTGAGAAAGAACCCAATTGGGACAAAAATGGTTCAAGGTAAAAAGAGTGCAACACGTGCTTTAAGATCCAAAGCTTCGTGCCGCTCCTTGTCGATAACCTGCAAGTGTTAGTCGAGAAATAGAAAGAATTGAAATGGGGTCGTACCTTCATTTGGATTTTGGATGTTTAATGTGACCTTCCTTAGTACCAAGTCCCCGTGAACTTTGACCTCGATCATTTCTCCTCTCATTCCGTGTAGAATTTTGCGCAGACCCGCTGTCTCTACGGTCCCCATTATACGGTTGATATCGATCTCTTTTTAAATCAATTCTCGATCAATATCTCTCTTGATTCTATCCACGTGCCTGTTAGGATAAACAGACCTAGAAGGATCCCCCAGTTGATCATCCTCGACCCTGATCTTCGATTGATACCGATTGTGTACATCGGCCCAAGTGATAGCTGGGTATTCGATCAAATTCTGCTTCAACTGCTGGGAAGCTACTGAACTTCAAACGTTAAGACCTTGAGTGAAAGCTTGAATGGCCCAATCGTCGATGACCAGTGGCAAATCCATTCATTCCATTTGGAATCGAGATATGAATTCTCTAAGCATCTCGTTGTCCTTTTGCCTTACCTTGAAAAGGTCCGACTTTCTTGTTGCTGCCTTAATGGCCCTGGTGTGTGCCTTTACAAAGGAATCTGCGAGTATAGAAAATGAATCAATAGAATTAGGCAGTAAATTATGATACCATATCATAGCACCCTTCGATAAAGTCTCCCCGAATATTTTCAACAAGACGGGTTCGATCTTGTCATCTTCCAATCATTTCCTTTGATAGCACACGTGTAGGAGGTGATGTGTTCGTTTGGACCAGTCGTCCCATTATATTTAGGAATCTCAGGCATACGGAACTTCTTGGGGATCGGCTTTGGAGCTGCGCTCAGGGGGGAAAGATTTTTGTACAAACTTTTTGGAATTTGGACCTTTCAATATTGGTGGAGCCCCCGGGATCTGGTTGACCATGGAATTATAGGTTTCTACTTTCTTGTCGTTTTCCTCGATCTTCTTTTTCCCTCATCTCGATACGCTTTATCAGTTCTTCGAGCATCTTAATGATAGAAAGGTTGGTCTTCGATTCCTTTTTGTTCGACCTCTTCGAAGTCGATTCGACCCTGTGTATGATTTCTTGGGACGGCTCGGGTTCGACCCTACCCGATGTATGATTCTGATTTTGGAGCTGAGTTATCGTTGCCTATTAGGCTTGCAACATTTTGAAGATTACCCGCAGGTTGATCCCACCATCTTCACCTCTATGTGTATTTTGAGTAGTTGATCGGGTATTCCCACGAACTCTGCCTTCGGGATCGGTGGCCAAATTTCCATTGATGGCCACATGCGAACTGACGTCGATTGGATCAACAGCCGGAATTCCATCAAGGCCAGCAGGGTACAATATTTCCTGGTGGCTGGTGCAATGTTCTCATTCTCGCCGTGGTGGCTGAGATCATTGTCAATGTGTTGAGGTGCTGACTGGGAGTTTGATATTTTTTTTTAATCCTGTAATCAAAGACACTTCAAAGAACAAGCGTAAAATAGTGTGTGTGTAGAAAATTTGTACCAGGCAATCACTATTATCCTTAGCCCCACTATGGGCGCCAAACTGTTTACCCTAAAAAAGAATAAGAATTGAATTTATATTGTGGTTTTAAGGACACGTGATTTACTTAGCACAAATTGAGAGAAAACATAAATTGACAATGAAATTAACTGCGAATATAAATAAAGCAAACCAAATAAAATGTATAGCTTTGATCTTTGAACCAGGTTGTCCTCGAATCAACTGAATATTTCACCAGAAAGTATGAACACAGTAATAAGAATATTGAGAGCTTAAGAGAAAGTGACTATATATAGCTTTATGTAACGTGAATATGATGTCTTTTCACAAATAATCAGACCCCCTATATATAGTGGCGGAGTCCTACTCTTGGTACAATTCTAAATACAGTAAGAAATCCCATGATTGGCTAACTAATCGGCCTCTTCTTGATATGTGTCGGGATTTGCGCCGTGATCCCCGCTCGATCACGGATATTTCGTCTTTCTGTTATTCGACCCGGTAAGCTTCCCTCGAACTCCATTTTTATTCGGTCTCGATCTTGGTCGATCTCAATCTTAGTAGATCTTGGTTTTGGTCAGTCTTGATCTTAATCGGTCTCAGGGTCTCGAGCTTGACAATCTAACTCTGCACCATAGTTTGATATAAATCGAAGCTGATTCTTGACTTATCATGCTCCATCCTCGATTAATTGCACTAAAAAAGGCAAGCCTGATTGGACCGTATACAAGGATAATATCATTTTCCGGATCGAAGCATCCTCTGTCGTCTAAATTGTAGATTGTTCTTTGTCCTAGAACGTATTCAGACTAATTTAGTTTTGTAGAAGAAATATTAAAAGAAACTTTACTAATTGAAATTCATGTGAACTTTTTCATTTTTTTATTTTACCAAGATAACGAAAGTGAGAAACGTAAATAACGAATAATGTAGAAAAATATAAAGCTCTACAAAGAATCGGGTGCAATTTAAAGTTTTTCATAAAGCAATGTCACGAGTCACGACCTTTAAATAAAAGCCTCCTCTAAGATTCCTAACATCTTTGAGTACGATTTTGGAGGGGAACTTTATCAAGGAACTGAAAAGATTTCTGTATAAGTGACTAGGGTGTACAAATAAAAGCAGTAAACTATACTAAATCGAGTCAAACCGCAAAAAAAAAAAAATTCGATGTGGTTTGGTTTGATTTGGTAAATTTGATATTCCGACCATAGTTGATTTGATTTGGTTTTAACTAAAAAAAAGTCAAATCGAAACTAAACCACCCCGAGATTACATTTATACAATTATTTAAAAATATTTTATATATATAAATATTTATTGTAATGTAATTTATAAATATTTCTCAAATTTTTTTTACAGTTTTATCTTTAATGTATTATTTCAAGCTTGGACTTAACACTCTTGAATGCTCCAATAAATTTTATAACTCATAAATGTAGTAACTCAAATAAAGTTCAAATCAATACTAATACTAACAAAATAAATTCAATTCAACATTAGAAATGATAATAGTTTTGGATATCTATTTTTCGTTTTGCATTGGTTTATAATGAAAATGCATAACATAGTTTATTTTATTTAGTGCTTACTCATGTAATTAATAGCTTATTAGATGTACTTATTTTAGCATGACTTATATAGTACTTTTAGATTACGTTCATTTTTATTATGGCTTATTAATTAGCAATACTTGTTTTATGCGATTTAGTATTGAATATTTTGGTACAATGTTATGACTCATCTCATATTATTGTGTTATTTTCTTGAAAAACATATTGTATAGTTGTATCATACTAGGACTAAAGAAATATTTGGAATATAAGTTACATATTTTGTGCTATGAAGACTTTACCGGAATAAACCCAAAAATCCAAAAAAAAACCAAAACACCCAAGAAAACTCGAGAGTAAAAAAGCCAACTTTAATGGTTTGATTTGGTTAATAGATCTAAAAAACTGACACCATTGGTTTGATTTGGTAATTTAAAAATCCGGACCGATCCGATCTATGTCGTGACTAATATGTCTAGCTCAGTAATCCTAGAAGATCTACGAAGTTATTTCCATGAAATCTTTTCGGAAATCTCTTAGCAGATCTTCGGTCATACATCCCTGTATTCTTCAGGTTCAGGTTCCGAAATATGTTAATGTAACAGTTTAAAACGAAAACTTTTTCCGGCCTTTTATGGTAATTAAGTTGGAGCACCAACTAAAAAGTTTGTCAATATTCACTCTATCAGGTAATTTATGGTGGATTAAGAAGATTTAGGCCTCTATTGCACATGCTCAAAAGCCTGCGGTGTGCGTTTAGCTCTTCTTCTGTTGTACAATTGCACTAAAAAGAAGAGCATTGAAGGATCCTTGATCAAAATGGGCACATAACAACTACTAATGAGATTTGTTGATTTAAACACTTATGCTCTAAGCATCATTATACAAAAATAAATCCGTACAAAATCAATCTTCATCTGAACTCTCATACGCTACTAGCAAGCTTTTCATTGCATTATCTGCCTTTGTTTCATTTCCCATGTCAGTTGATCTAGCTGGCAGGGTCTCTTTCTGCTTCTCCTGATTAGAATCAGTGTTATTACTTGGAGCAGCCTGTGTGCTTGCTGGGGAATTACTCCCATCAGATGCGGTAGAAACTTTCTGCTTCTTAGGTTTGACTTCTAAAACCCTTTTAAGTAAATCTTGCTGCCTGTACCATAAGACCAGCAAATATGTTAATCTAATTAACTCCCCTTGATTATTTATGAAGAATACCAAGTACCAAACAACAAAAAATGATGGAAATAACAAGGGGGAGGACACCGGAGAAATAAAGTGCCTAACAGCAAAAGAGGCAAAACAATACCTAATCCCACTCTTTGCCTTGGGCTCAACACGAAGAGGCAGGGGAATTGACGCTGGTGAAGAATCAGCTACAGCTTTGTTTAATATGGTTAAGCATTACACAGAAGATGGAAATGGTTAACTACAACTTAATAACCTTACATATCTATGTCCTTTTTTTTGGTTGATAAGTTATCTGTGTCCTATGCTTTCTCAAGCCACAACATCCTCTCTGCTGGCAAGGCTAAACTTCATGGGATAAATCATCAGATCAGCCTTTATAATGATTATACAAATTAATGAAACTCAATTGACATCAATTAGCACTTGCAGTCATGATATAATGTCAACATACGAGAGATACACAATCGAATGAGGTAATATCAAAGGAAGAACCAGTAAAAAGGATATCTTGAATGCTTGGAATGCACGTTTTTCGGTACGTCTCAGAAGGCGTTCAGCATCCTCCTCGGCTTCCATCTGCTCCTTTAGATAAAGCAAGTCATCACTGTCCAGGGCTGCATTACAAAAAAACAAGGCTCAGGAAACTATTACACACTTCCATTATATAGATGGACGGATGTACAAAGAAGAAAAAGAGGGGAGGAATTATTTTGAGCAAGAATCTGTACCGCCTCTCCCATGAAGGTAGCCTCCACGTTCCCCAGCAACATCTTGCATCTGAACATATCAAGCACCCAGTAGGAAAAGCCAAGATCCCTGTCAGGGCATGTTATAAGAAATTGGGGTATTCTGAGGGATATTTTAAATATGATCTGGTCCTGAAATAACGTGAGATTACACGCTTTTCTGGAATATCTTAATTTAGAATAAATCACAACCATCAAACTATTCTTTTATTAGTGTTAAACCTGTTTTCTAAGACTATATAACTAAATATACTGCAAAGACCTCTTATTTAAATCCTAATAGATGGACTGCGTATTTCCCTTATTTCGGTCCACGATAGCTGTTTAAGTCTATTTATTGGATAGGGTTCCCTTTACCAGTAGTAACTCTGTTGATGTGAGTTTGCTCACTTTGTCGGTCCTACACCCTCATAGAGGAGGAGGATTGTAGTAGGTTCACAACGAGCATAAAATATGTCGATTTATGATAAATCTTCATCATTGATGATTGCACATGGTGTTTATTGACCTAGAGAAGACGTATGACAAGATCCCTAGGACGTTCTTTGAGATGCCTAGAGATGAAAGGTGTAATGGTAGCTTATATTAGGGCGATAAAAGATATGTATGATGGAGCTAAGACTCGGGTTATATCTGTGGGAGGTGACTCGGAGCATTTTCCGGTGGTTATGAGGTTATACCAAGGATCTGCGCTAAGCCCGTTCTAATTTGCCCTGGCGATGGACGCACTGACACATCATATTTAAGGAGAGGTGCCTTGGTGTATGATGTTCGCTAATGATATAGTTCTGATTGATGAGACGTGAGGCGCCGTTGACGAGAGACTGGAGGAATGGAGACAGGCCCTGGAGTTTAAAGGTTTCAAGTTGAGTAGGACCAGGACAGAATATTTGGAGTGTAACTTTAGCGACGTGTCGGAGGAAGCAGATGTGGAAGTGAGGCTTGACTCACAAGTCATCCTTAAGAGAGAGAGTTTCAAGTACCTAGGATCTATTATCCAGAAAGATGGGGAGATCGATGGGATGTCACGCACCGTATCAAGGTGGGGTGGATAAAATGAAGGTTAGCATCTGGAGTCCTGTGTGACAAGAATGTGCCACCGTAACTTAAAGGTAAGTTCTACAGAGTGGTGGTTAGACCAGCCATGTTGTATGGAGCTGAGTGTTGGCTAGTCAAGATTGCACATATCCAGAAGACGAAAGTAGCAGAAATGAGCATGTTGAGATGGATGTGCGGGCACACTAGGATAGATAAGATTAGGAATGAGGATATTCGAGAGAGGATGGGCGTGGCTCCCGTGGATGACAAGATGCGGGAAGCGCGGCTTAGGTGGTGCGGGCACGTGCGGAGGAGGAGCCTAGATGCCCCGGTTAGGAGGTGTGAGCGGTTGGCTCTGGAAGGTACGAGAAGAGGTAGAGGGCTACCTAAGAAGTACTGGGGCGAGGTGATCAGGCAGGACATGACGCGGCTTCAGATTTCCAAGGACATGACCCTGGATAGGAAGGTGTGGAGGTCGAGCATTAGGGTTGTAGGTTAGGGGGTAGTCGAGCGTTTATCCTCGCTGCGTCTGATAGTGTTTTGTCTAGGACTGCTAGCGGTTTTTGTCGTGTTTCACATTTTTTGTTGTCTTTCACATTTTGGCCTTTCCATTTATTTGTTGTATTTTACGATGCTGATACTATTTTTCTGATTTTTGTTGTTGTTACGGACCTATTGTCTCTGAGCCGAGGGTCTCCCAGAAACAGCCTCTCTATCCCTTCAGGATAGGGGTAAGGTTGCGTACATTCTACCCTCCCCAGACCCCATTAGTGGGATTCTAGTGGGTTGTTGTTGTTGTTGTTGTCGTCGTCTTCATCATTGATAAATAGTGAGGATTCATATAATTGACCTCAACTAGATGGCGATGGAGGCTTAATTGTGTTTATTGTTGTTTCTTTTACCAGTAGCAGTCTCCCATTCAGTAAAAAAAGCCCTCTTCTGATCAAAACAACTTCTATAAGTTCCTTGTAAGCCTAACAAAACATTTCTGTCACTTAATGTTCAGTAGAATAAAGAGGAAGGATAGGGTAGCAAATAAAATGAGCAATTACAAGAGCCCTTATTGGCAAGAAAATAAGGAATAGAAAACCGGAGAGGTCGCAAGCTCAGTCAGTTTTCTCAACAGATTCAAAATTCAAAAGGGGAAGTTAATTTTTTCTTTTTCTTTTGATAGCTAGGACACGAGGAAGACAAATTTTTATTTCTCCGACATGGCACACCCCCCCCCCCCCCCCAAAACAACAACAACAACAACAACCACCCAATAAAATCCCACTAGTGGGGTTTGGGGAGGGTAGTATGTACGCAGACCTTACCCCTACCCCGAAGGAGTAGAGAGGCTGTTTTCGGAAGTCCCTCGGCTCAAGAAAACAAAAAGACAAAAAGGAGACCATCACTTTAGGTTGAGACAAATTTCTTGCCTCTTAGTTGGAGTGAAGTGCTCTTGCCCCAGGAGCAACCACACTTGAGAGAAAGTAAATCCTATTTTAGCCTTGCGGAAGTAAATTATTAACAGTTCCACCATTTCATCAGACAAAGAAATTGAAGAAAGACTTGCCGATTTGAGCAAATAGACAAATTCATGGATAATCTCTTCAATATCAGATTATGGTTGATAACATGTGGCCCAAACAGGAGAGTTTTTTTTAAATTAACTAAACCATTGCGATTATTCTCTATAGTTCTCAATCCACTACAAACATCTCCTCCTGGATATCATCTATTTCACAACGCGGATGAAACAGCATATACAGCTAATGGCCAAATGAGTTTATGAGATAATAAATGTCAGCAAAAAAATTCAGCCTTAATAAAGTCTTCCAAAATTATAGGCATGAAGAAAATTGAAAGATATGCTATGCTCGAATTATACTGTAGCAGAACTATTTAAATACTATTAACTAACAGTGTAAAAAAGATTCAAACAATCAAGTCACTTAAAAGATAATTGCAGGTAATTCTATTTAATACTAGCATTGATAACCCAGAATAAATGGTAATTGACAAGTTGAACTACACTGATGGTGTAAAAAGCTCATTATATTGAAAGTGTATGTAACTTAAATTCAAAGAAATAAATTCCAAACAGCTCAAGTTTCTAAATGAAGCACTATGAGGCGGTTCACACAATTCAACAGAAACATTCAAGTGCAATTGTGGAGTGTGGACTCAAAATTTTGAAAAGTAGAAGGACGTCAAATCAGAAGCAAAATTTGTTGGCTCCTGATTAAATTTTAGAGGTGCGTGTTAAATCAGTATATAAAGTTGGAGAAACGGGATTCGCTAACCTTTGAAACCATGCGTTGGAAAGTGATTTCCTCGTCATCTATCCTGTCTCCCTTTCCTTTCCCGAATTTTTTATCTGCAAAATTAGTTCGCATTTACAGGTTAACCCTAAAAAGTAAACGAATACAAAATGCGTGTGGCCAGTTGTGGGAAAATACCTTTAGGATCGGTGAGATTGGTGTATTCTCGAACTTCTCTGCCAGCCATGGCTTCAGTTAGATTGATTAGAAATTGGTTGCTACGTGCAGATGGGTACGATTAGCAGTGTTCTTCGGGTTAGGGCTTTCTTTCGCATTCGGCTGTTTTCTCTTTCCCTCTTCTGTGAATTTATTATCCTCTTTTTAGATGCGGATCACACGGTCCTCTCCTCGGTCCCAGGAAGCTGGGCTATTTATTTACAGCTTGTTTGGATGGTTGTTAGCTATTGTATTGTTTTCATGGAACAATTATATATTGTTAAATTCATTGTTTCGGAACAATGGAAAGTCTATTTTTTGAAACAACCGATTTGGTGTGGTGGGATCGTTTTCTATTTTTCTTTCTAATTATGCCCTAACTTATTACTTTATAATTTTATTTTACTCTTTACCTTTTTATTTTAAATAATAGCAAAGTCTCTTTCTCACATAATTTTGTAATAGAATTCTACATGAAGTCTAATAACCGATATAAATTCTCAAGACGACATCCAAAATATAACCTAGTATATAATAACCTACATACGTGAAAAACTCATTTTGTTCTTCTGCCGCTTCTCCATACTCTTCAGGTAAACGTTTTGTTTTACTTTTGTCTGAATGGAGTATACTTAATATTTTTTTTTTAATTTTTTATTATTATGATCTAATTATAAATATAGTGTACTTATTATTATTTTTAATATTATTAACTTGTTCAACTAATTTCGATAGAATTTGCATGAATTTAATTGCTTAATTTATATATAAGACATAATTAGTGATTAGTTAGTAGAAAGTGGTTTTCTTAAATAATTTTTATGTGTAATTTTTGATAAATTAAATATTTAAAACAATTGAGGGTATTGTAGTAAACTTATCAGTTAAAGTACAGTACGATACAGTCAAACCAAACAGCAAAATGTTATTTAACAACAACGAACAATACAATCTTTCCAAACATTGTATTCATAAAACGATACGATACAATACAATACAATACAGTACAATACGATACATTATAAAACGATGGAGAACAGTGATCCAAACAGAGTGTTAGTAAAACAAAAATGTGAGACTGTAAGGTGCCGTTTGTTTCCTGTTTTAGGAGGGTTAATCCATGTATAAAAACCAATTTAATACATTGTTTGATCAAGCAAAATCAATTTAGGTATAAAATTGAACACAACATATACCATGTTTTGTTAGTATTTTTGTTCTTCATACATAATATCTATATAAATTAATGAGAAAATTTATGTATTATTTTATGCACGATAAAATACAAAATTAAAATACGTGTATTAAATAATACATTAATTAATTTCTTTTCACTTTAAGTTTAGAATTTCTTTCCCTTTCACTAGGAGCCTGATATCTGTGACGACCCGATAGGTTATTTTGAGTACTAGCCCTTAGTTCTATGTTTCGAGACCTCTATTAGCTCCATTTGATATTTTCCAATTTGCGTGCGCAGTCCGTGTCTTTTTTCGATAAGTTTTTACGTAAAAATTTGAGAAAATATGATTTTTGTCTTTAAAAATAACTTGAGATGACTACGGTCAACATTTTATGTAAACGACTCCAGATCGGTGTTTTGACAGTTCTAGTAGGTCCATATTGTGATTTTGGACTTGGAATTACGCTCAGAATTGAATTCGAAGGTCCCTAGGTTGATTATAATTGTTTTGCCGGAAGCTAGCAATTTGAAAGTTTGGAAACTTTCTAGGTTTGACCGTAGGTTGACTTCATGGCTATCAGGTTTGAATTTTAGTTTCGGAACTTGGTATAGGTCCGTTTTGCTATTTGAAACTTGTCTACAAAACTTTGTGCAAATCGGAGTTGTTTGATAGGATTAGGACGCTTGGTTGTGATTTTAGAGGTTCTTGAGCTTTCTTTGAAAATTCCATGCATTTTGACGTCTGATTCGTAGTTCTATGTGTTATTTCGGCACTTTGATCGCGCGAGCGAGTTCGTATGATGTTATTCGATGCTCCGGACATTAGGCCGTTCACGGGGACTGAGTCCTTTCATTCAAACGCTCAGTTTGACGACCTTTCTTCCGGTAAATGGAAAAGTCAGTTTTTTTTATAGTCGTCTCTTGCCTTATCGAAGGATTGATATAGAGAAGAAATTCCTATATTTCTTATCTAAGCCTACCTACCACCTTCCTTCCAGAGCAATAGAACTTCTTTCTAACTTCATTCAAAAAACCAATTTTGGATCAGGAATCAGACTTTCTTTTATTGCTTATTTCACCGGTATGAGCCACCTCTTTTTTTTCTTGAGAGTGGGCACTCTAGTCTCAGGATTTGGTTCTTTTTTTTCTACCTTTTGTGAAGTACAACGTTTGGCGTGAACTATTGGAGGAGCATAACCAGACTCTGCATTAAACTCTTCGGGCAAAATCACTAGGATAATTTTGTTAGCTACGGCGATACCCAGTGCATGCCTTTCGCCTTACCTCCCTTCCTAACCTTGCTTGATCCAATAGCCCGATCCTAGCCCACTGACCTTTCTCCAAGATTGAAGTTAGAACTAGTTTGAATTCCAACTTAGAGCTCCTCTCCTTACAGTCAAGTGACTTTCACTCCTTCTACTCTAAACTACTTTGTGCCTATTTTTCGCTTTTCACAGTCAAAGTCAAAGGTTTGTTGGTGGCAAGATCAGCATGCCTTCTAGTTGTAGTTGATTGTAAGCGCACCTGAACTACCCTTAGTCATCTATTTATGGGCTTGCACTCAATAGTCAATTAATTCATTTTTCTGCTTTCTATCCACGCTTCAACTATTTGTTTATATAATGTGTGAAGTCCAACTAATGGAAAGTGCCTATCAATTAATTCCAAGAAAGCGGCCATATCAGGAATAGAGGCCGTTAAGGATGAACTTGCTTTTCCTTTTTTTCTTGTCGAGAACACTTGTGTGCATGTTTGGTTTGGAGCCCGAGGGGATCGAGTGGGTTTCGGATAGGCTACAGACCATTTCGGTCTTTAGAATTGATGGTTTTTAGCTGTTGTTGATGTCTGGTGCTTGGTGCTACGTGATCGCGAAGCTAATCTCGTGATCGCGAAGGGGAGTTTGGGGCTGGGGCGGATTTGTTCTTCGCGAACGCGAGGAGCTGGTCGCGAACGCAAAATAGAAGGGGGCTTACCCTTCGTGAACGCGACAAGCCTCCCGCAAACGTAAAGCTTTGTAAGGATCTGGGGAAGGTCAGCTGGTTACACTTCGTAAACGCGAGCCTTGGCTCGCGAATGCGGAGAGTACCTCGCGAACGCGAAGGCCTTTTGGCCACTTCTCTTCGTGAACGCGCCATGTGCTTCGCGAACGCGAAGAACACTTGACGCCCAGGATCGGGATTGAACCATTTTTTCACCATTTTCAAGTTAGAGCTCGATCTAGAGGAGATTTTGAAGAGGTTTTTCATCTCAACTTCATTGGTTAGTAAATATTAGCTTGTTTTTTTGCATTTTCATAATCACCCATTGAATTTAACCTTTAATCTAGGAGTTTGCATGGTAGAAATTAGGGATTTGGGTAGAAATTAGGGATTTTATAAAATTGTGATTTAGACCTCAAATTAAGGTCGGATTTAAAAATAAATCACAGAACCGGACACGGAGGTGAATGGGTGATTGGGTTTTGGTGCGAATCTCGATTTTTGACCAAGCGTCACCGGGGTTGACTTTTTCCAAAATCATTAAAGATTGAATCTTTTTCACTCATGGGTAGTCTCTAAAGCCTATTTTGAATTGTCTGAACTATATTTGGCCAGATTTGATTGGGTTGGAGGCTAATAATAAAAGAAAAAGTCGTGGTTGAGCCTTGATTTGGTTGTTGTTCTTATCGTACTCCCCTTTCTACATGCCCCCTCCCAAATAACATTTTAACTGTCCTACTTGATATTTGCTTTATGTATACACTTGTACAGGATTTACGTAGGTGTCTTGTCATAGCCTCGTCACTATCTTATCGGGGTTAGACTAGACACTTACGGAGTACATTGGGATGGTTGTACTCATGCTACACTTCTGCACTTCTTGTGCAGATACTAGTGTTGATCCCAGGAGCATTTAGTGGTGCTTGTGCTTGGATTCAACTATATTGGAGACTTCAGGTCTAGCTGCACAGCATCTGCAGCCCCCGAAGTCCCCTTCTTTATCCATTTTACTGTTTATCTAGTCTCAAATAATTGTACTTTGTTTCAGACCATATATGTAGTATTCTAGTGTCTCATGTACTTGTGACTCCGGATTTCTTGGAGTAGTTAGCATCCCGTTATTTCTGTTAACATTGTGTTAAATTCTGAGTTTATTAATCTTAAATATCATTACTCTATGTTAATTGTTAAAGACTGCTTAATTAATTTAATGACGCTGGCTTGCCTAGCAAGTAGATGTTAGGCGCCATCACGGTCCTGAGGTTGAGAATTCCGGATCCTGACAAGTTGGTATCAAAGCACTAGGTTGCCTAGGTCTCACGAGTCATGAGCAAGCTTAGAAGAGTCTGGAGGATCGGTACGGAGACGCATGTACTTATCATCTAGAGGCTATAAAGCTTTAGGAACATATCACTTCTTTCTTTCTCTATTGTGCAGTTTTATTCTGTCACTGATGTTTGAATCATTCCATTCTTGTTCTCTCGCAGATGGTGAAAACACGCACAACATCTACAGCCGGGCAGGAGCCGGAGCCCCCTGTTGCAGCCACTACCAGGGGTAGGGGCCGTGGCTGAGGTAGGGGCCGAGGTAGAGGCAGAGCTCAGCCTAGAGCACGTGCAATAGCACCTACTGCGAAGCCTCTGATTGATCATGCGAAGGAGATCCCAGTTTAGATCACACCAGTCGGACCCGCTCAGGTCCGGAGGGATTCATAGACAATCCCATACTTCAGGATGCTCTAGTCCGTTTGGTGGGCTTATAGAGAGTGTGGCCCAGGCCGGAGTATTCCCTATGGCACCTACTGTCTCTCAGGATGGGGGAGGAGCACACAGACTCCCGCTACTTACAATCCGGAGCAGATCGCTCCCTTATATCAAACTTCTACGGTTCCAGCAGTTAAGGTAGTTCAGCCCATTATTGCTACACAGACCGGGGAGAGGCCCACGATATCTTCTGAGTGATTGATGAGATTGGACAAGTTCACAAAGTTATTTCCTATTCGCTTTAGTGGAAGACCTTCTAAGGACCCACATGATT